GGCCCCCGCGGCCATGCTGGCCCGGGCTGGGGGGCGGCGGCGCCCTGAGCGGGGGTCGCCGTAGAGCCGCGGCGGGCGGGGGAGGCGCCGCGTTCGCACCGCCGGGGCCCGCGCTCCGCCTGCGGGGGCTGCCCCCGGGGAGGGGGAGGCGCGGGGAAGGACAGCAAGCGGAACAACTTCTGCTAATCGAAAACAGAAAAGAAAAAAAAAAGGAGGCTTGTTCGTGGGACATCTGCGAAGCTCAGTACCACGCGAGGCATCCCAGCCGCAGTGAAACCCTCCATGCTAGTGCATCCCACCACAGTGACAGGAGGGACGCTGGCTGTGGCCGCTGTTCCCAAGCCCCGCTTGCATTAGAGTCGCCTTGTTTTTCTGGCTGGAAGATGATTCCTGCAACAGGACCATGTTGCTGATGATGAGCAGCAGAGTCGTTGGAAGATGCCTTCCTTGAGGATTACACGTGGAACGAGGCCATCAGTCGAGGGGAGAGCTGGCTGGTGAAACTGTCTGACTTTCCCCCCACCGGGGAAGTGGCTTCAATGGCTCCATCTCCCAGGAGAAGCAGTAGGAAAGATGCCAGCGCCCTGCCAAGCATGTCCTCAACTTTCTGGGCTATCATGATCCTGGCTAGTCTCCTAATCGCTTACTGCAGTAAGTACATATTTGTCCTGCTGCTTTTGCTGGGCATAAATCTACATCCTTCCCATGTGAGGTTACACTTCAGGCGAAGGCCAAGCTCTGAAGCTGGCAGGCACAGGTACTGTGCCTTAGACTTGCCCCTCAGCACATCTCCCCCCACTCCCCTATGGCAAAGCAGGTAGACCGACACTTTAATACTGCTGCCTCTCAGGACAGCGAGACGTTGTTAGGTTGTAAATGTGGCGTTTCCAGTCCAAACATCTCTTGGATTTTAGAAACAAACTTTCTAGCGGTAGTAGCCCTGATCCACTATTCACTGTTTATTGTCAGATGTTACCAGATGCCTCTGAGACTGCTCCCTCCACATACACACTCTTCTAACTCTGTCCACCTTCCGTGAAGGGGAGCTGGTTTGCCTATGTTCATTCTTTTAGGAAGCACACACTTCATCAAGTGGCAGATGTCTTAACGTCCCTGGGATCGTATGTGATCCTTTGAAATTCCATAGGAGCAAGTCTTAGCACTTCCTTAGCATAGCCTCAGCAGTTTAGTAAGTCCATGTTGCCAATTTTACAGCTGCATCTCAGGTTATCAGTAGAGGTTTTATATTCTTTTTTCAGGCTTGATAGATTTTTCCATTAATTACAGTGTTGCAGATAAGGTATCTGTAAGAATCAAGTACTTGGACTATACTTTTAAAGGTCTTTATTTTTTCCTGCTTTTTTTGTTTGTTTTTGGTCATTTTTGTTTGTTTTGCTTTCAGCAAGAATTGTTTTCAAGCAGTTATATAAGGTAAATGGAGTTAATGCCCACACTTCAAGTTAGGGAATGCAAGTTAGTCCATAGCACCAGAGTAGGAAACTTGCAAAGAGAATAGAAAAAGCAGTTTTTACTCAATAATAGAAAAAAAATAGTTTATCAGGAAGGACCTGCGCAGCTTTGCCAAAATGAATCTGTGCTGTATTTTTCCACCTTGAGCTGAATGAGGTCTGTAATTTACCCATGGTGCATATTGCTTTCATTAGCTGTAGCATAAAAGATTTTATACTAGGCTTGTCTTGTTGAGCTGTAATAGGTGTAGGCTATGATGGATAGGAAATAGATGCTGGTTTGCAGGAGCATACCTGCTGCATTTCTTAACCCTCTATTCTATTTCCTCCAACTGTATTACACTGACCATTTTTCTATGTATGTGTTCAGGGTTTTTTGGAAACAATATTGTAATTGGTTAGGAGAACCTTTAATTCACTTCTGTTTTGTGTATTACAGGAGTCCTTTATACTGATGGCACTGAAAGTGAATTATGTCAAAAAGAATAACATATTTTGTAATTTTTTTTGTAATTTAGCACATTTTGCATTATACTTCTCATTAATAAAATTATATCACACAGGCCACACTTTTAATAATACAATTTGTACATAATGCTATCTTCAATGTGATATTGCAGAGGATATACTAAACAATATAATGAGTTTTAAAATAATTTATTATATCATGTGAATGCACATTACAGAGTGAATAGTTCAAGTGCAAAGGGAATTCAGTTTGGTATTAGTGATAGGAAATATTTTGTTAAGTTTGTGTTAGAAGTGTCCAAAGCATCACAGGCTTCTTATGGGAAGATATGAGATCTTCTGTGCATATATTTTTGATCAGCATGGCCTCAAAAAGAGTCAACCATGAACTCTGGCACTTTAGAAATTATTTATCTTCAGCAATGAGATGTTTGACGATGTTTTATCCTAATGATTATAGTAATCCATTTGAATTGTTAAATATTGTTCATTGTTTACTAATGAAAAATGCAAATGTTGGGCAATAATCTGAAGGCATTTTCTAGTGTGCTTAAAGATCAGTTTCTAATTATTTCTTTCAGCCAGTCTAGATGGTGTTCCTCGAATATGTAGTACACTCTTCATTTCATATAGCACTGAAAAGCACCATGCTGCTTAAAATATGCAGTGTCAAAACACTCCACCATTTATGTAATGCTTCACTGATTTGACAATTGCAATTCCAAATGTTAATGAAGCATCATGAAGATTTTCTCTAGTGGTAGTATTTGAGACATTGAAAAAAGATGGTTTCTGCTCTGTGAAAAATCAAGATTAAAAAAAAAGTGAAGCTATTTCTAGGTAAAGCAGCACTTCAGATTTTATGGATTCTCTTAAAAATCAGCTAGAGTTTAATCAGTCTTTTTTTCATCTGGTGCCTCTTTTTGAAGAAAAGCAAATTTGAGTGTTGGGGAGTACATGATGTCTTTTAAAAATGCTTTAAAAATAACAGGACTGACATATTTCTTGGGAGTAAAAGGAAAGAATGTGACTGTGTAAGGTGGTCTCTATTTTTCCCCACACCTTATTGTCAGGAATACACAAGTATAACAATAAAGGTGAATATATTATCAAACTAATTACAGGAATCTAATATTTTATTATTTCATTATATCATTCTACTGAAAACAAACCCTGCAACCTCCAAAACAAAATCTGGAAAAGAACTTTTCCATTTTTCCTTTCTTAATAGGGTTACAGGAACCTAATATTTTATTATTTCATTGTATATCTACTGAAAACAAACCCTGGAACCTCCAAAACAAAATCTGGAAAAGAACTTTTCCATTTTCCTTTCTTAATAGCACTTTAAATACAATTTTTGATGTATCTTGCCTATTTCCATTTTTAATGTTAGTCTGACAAAGCTTATTTCTGAATCAGTTATTTGAACATTGCTTCTCCTTCTCCTAATTACTTTGTGAATCTTGGTTTCTGGAAGTGTAATTATTGTACAAGTCATCCCTATTACTGGGAGCAACCAGTAAACAGCATACTCTAAGTTCCACTTGACAGATAAGCATATTTATAAAGAATGTTCTGGATGTACATGTACAACCCATTAGACTTTCATTTATACTTTAGTATCTGAAGCCCAATTATATTCCTATTGATGCGGTAAAATGATAAACTGATAATTTTTTCTTTCTTAAATGTTTAGATTATACTTAGGGATAATGGCTCCATCCTATGGTGGAAGAGAAACCTGCATCAAATCAATTAGGTTAGTTGCTATAGTGATAAATATAATGTAATATTCTCTATCTGAAGGAAGATGGTCTGATTTGATAGGCTCTCAACAAGGGAAGGCAAAAACAAAGTAGTAGAAATAGACTGTTTATGGTCCTTGGTGTGAACAACAAGGACTTATTTTACTAAGCAGAAGCATCATTAAATGCAAAAACAGCCTCAGAAGGCTCTCCTGGTAGAGGGTGGCCACCTTCATGGCAACTTACAATTAAGAGTTGTGGCATTTTTTGATTCCAGACATCCAGACATGTATGTCTCATACTTGCTTAATAAACAGTAGTAAACCAGAGAGAAGTACCTACAGTGAATACCTCACATTGTGTTTTTTACTGTTGTAAAAGTGAAATTATTAGATTTGTTGGTTTTTTTTGTTGTTGTTGTCTTTTTTTGTGTTTGTTTTGTTTATAAATGGAGTATTGTACCATGCTTGAAAATTTTGTCAAATTAAGGAAATTCATGTGGTATCACAGCTGCCTGCTACATCAGGAATATAAATAACATAGTTTTGATCCAGAACTACTTTTTAGTGCATTTATTCAGTTGACTTTGCTATAAATACTGAAAAGCTTTTTATATGTAAATCGTAACTTTTTAAGCAATATAGGAATCAGCTTTTAGCAACGTTGTGGCTGTTAGAAGCTTTTACTTTTTATTTTTTATACTGTTTTCTAAGCCTAAGGAGTAGAACAGCACAGAACCCTGTGCTGTTCCGTTAAGGTAATACTTCTGAGGGCAAGTAAATGGGTTGTTTTGAAAGGAGGGTAACTTTTTAAGCAATATAGGAATGAGCTTTTAGCAACGTTGTGGCTGTTAGCTTTTACTTTTTATTTTTTATACTGTTTTCTAAGCCTAAGGAGTAGAACAGCACAGAACCCTGTGCTGTTCCGTTAAGGTAATACTTCTGAGGGCAAGTAAATGGGTTGTTTTGAAAGGAGTTACCAAAACTGAATGGTACATGGAAAATTGACATTCTTGCTTTGAGTACAGTGTATGGAAGAGAGCAGTATGAAACACAGCATTTTTGCTTACTAAGTGGTGATAGTACTAGGAAAAAGGAATCTAAAAGTCCAAAATGCAGAGTAATTGCATAACATAATACAGAGCTGTTTTTGCTATTGCTGAGCAGGGCTTGCACAGAGCCAAGGCCTTTTCTGCTTTCCTTATTGCCACACTGGTGAGGAAACTGCTGGTATGTGGCAGGTTAGGAGGAGACACCGGCAGGGCAGGTGACTACTCCTGACCAAAGGGATATTCCAGACCATGTGGCATCATGCTCCATATATGAAATGGGGGGAAGAAGAAGGGGAAGTTTGGAGTGATGGTGTTAGTCTTCCAAGCAATTGTTATCCATGATGGAGCCCTGCTTTTCTGGAGATGGCTGAACACCTGCTGGCTCATGGGAAGGGATGAATTTGTTTCTTGTTTTGCTTTGCCTATTAAACTGTCTTTCTCTCAGCCCATGAGTTTTCTGGCTTTTACCTTTCTGATTCTTTCCCCAATCTTGCTCATGGTGAGTGACTGAGCAGCTGCCTGGGGCTTGGTTCCTGGATGGGGTTAAACCATGAAAAAATATTATATTAATTATATAATATTAACCTACCTTAAATTGAGATCCTGCTACATATTGGGTAGACACAGCTCATTTGAGAAGTACCTTTTCATTGTCCTGTTCTGGAGTTGCTTTTGTCTAAAAGACATGGGCTACTATGGTCACACTATGGTCACCAGGTCTTATTGTTTCCTTATTTGAGACTGCCAGAAGGAATTGCAATTAACTGTGACTGTCATCAGGCGACTTCTACAACAGGGGCTACCATATCATCATGCATAGGCTACTGAACAGCTGTTAAATGGTAAATGGTCACTGCCAGTTTATGTTGGATGCAAGCAAGTCAGCTCTGAATGGAAGCCTACAGCTCCTGTTAT